TATTAATTAAAATAATAATAATAATAATAATAATGAATTGATGGTGGTTTTAAGTTTTTCATTGATTATTTTGAACTCAAGCTGGCTAACTAGGCGGCCTCGTATGTTTTCGTTTTCTTTTGGGGTTATTTGCAGAGAATCATGGGAAACATTTAAGTCTTGATAATAAGATTTGCCTGATCTAGATACCTTGAAACGTTGAAAAGGCAGAGGCAGAGCACTTGAGCTTGAGCTATTCTACTACATTGTTTACATGCGCGTAGGGTGACCCCGTTGACCATGTAGACCATAGTGACCCTGGTGACCCTGATGCCCCTAGTGAGTCTGGTGACCATGGTAACCCTCGTGAACGTGTAGACTAATGTGACCTTGGTGACTCTGGTGACCATGGTGACCATGGTGACCATGTTGACCAATGTGACCCTGGTGACCATGTAGCCCATAGTGACCCTGATGACCCTAGTGAGTCTGGTGACCCTGGTAACCCTAGTGACCGTGTAGACCAATCTGACCCTGGTGACCATGGTGACCATGTAGACCATAGTGACCCTGGTGACCATGTAGACCATAGTGACCCTAGACTTAGAACAATAGTTAGCCCTAGTAGCAGGGTCACACTAATTTTATGTTAACGGCTGGCTCCGATTCCCACCATACAGTCGAAGTGCATGATATAACTTTTGATACTAGTGATGATTGATAAGAAACGATTTGCTTTTGATATTACTTATTATTATTTGATATTATATATATGGACTATCAATCACCATCGTATTGTCTGTGGGTTAATAATCGCGGCTTGRTTGGGAGAAAGTAGCGTTGGATCAGGTACTTGATCAGCTTTAGCGCATATTTCGTTAATACTACTAAGACTAGCATGCATGCTAGACTTGGCATTGAAGGCGTTATAAATATCCCCTTCATCGYCGTCATTCTCGTCGCTTACTCCACCTTCCTCGCTGCTGTACACACTGTATAGCGAAATATCATCTTTTTCTACCTGATCTTGGATAGGTTTTTCATTTTCTAGTACAGACAAAGTAACAGAGAGAGTGCTTCCAATGTTGAAGCATTCTTGGCTCTTGGTGTCTTGTTCCACTTCGACAAATTCTTCATCGAATGAATACTCATCTACAGCGGTTGCACGCAAAAGGTCACGCTCAATCATTCTCAGTGACGTCTTGATGTCACCAAGGCAACAGAGCTCATCGAGGATGTCATCTTCTTCGTCAAACGTCGCAAGAGGCACAAGATACCTATAAAAATCTTGGTTACTTTGGGCAAATTCAAATAAAGGCGCCTCCTCGAACACATCTTCGGTAACTGAAAATGGCTCCACCTCATAAGRAATATTTCGGATTTCGTTGCCAACATCTTCTCTGGAAATACAGCTCACGTTACCATTTGGCATCATGGCAGCATCTTTTGTCGTGTCACTGCAAAGGTCCCAGAGCTCAGCTTGGCTGTCATTGGAGAGCATATCCATTGATGGGCCCATTCCCTTCCACCTTCTAAATTTCTTTCCAAATAACTTAAATTCCATCATGAGCTCCCGATAACAACTTCTGAAGTAATTCTCAATATATTTTCGTAACGCGATCGGAATTCTTCTCTTTCGTCCTGATTCTCTGATTTCTTTATAGGAAGTGTTCAAGATACTCAGAAACACGTTAAGTAACAACAGCGCCACAGTCATGGAATAGGCAAAAACAAAAATGGACCCAAGCACTTTGTTAACCGTTTGGATCTTCCTCAACTGCATGGATGTACCCAATAGCTTCTGTAACACGATACTGAGCGACCCAATAAACGTAGAGTAAGACTCCATATTCCTGCCAAAAATCAGCATCCCCATCTGAGTGAAGGCCATGAGAGTGATAAATAGCACAACATAGAACGACTGGAGATTAGCAGTCGAGTGTTTCAACGTCTGCATTAATTGTCCAATATGGCTGTTAAACCTAATGAGTCTTAGGAACTTTATGGTCATGATGAATATAACGAATGACAGAAGGTAGATTTCAAGCAGAGACCACAGGACTATTAAGTCGGTGGTTGTAGTTTTGAATGGATTTTCATGGACCCCTCGTATAAAGTCGCTGACGTATTTCTCCTTAAAAAACAGTGTTCCCATTGCTAAGAGAGCACTTGTTATCAAAATCAGATCCATCCAGCTCCAAAACCTGAAGAAGTAGCGACATCCCATCTTATAAATTTTAAAGCACTCGCAAAAGAACAAAAACAAGACGACCCCAATGAAAATGAGTTGACAACTTTGGTAAAGTGTGCGTAATTTAGGATCTGTCACACCGTACACAGTCAGGGGTTCCAGTCGTATTTCAGGCAGAAAGCCACCAGTAGGAATCCGTTCGTACAATATCTTAACAGCACTTATAAGCAAACTTGCTGGTTCGAATACTGTGAATTCGATGAATATAGCCGCGGTGTGGTTATCAATCCATTTCTTTTTTATCAAATTGCTGACAACTTTCCGAGCACTTTTGTTGTTGTACCCCAAGTCAGCGACAAAGCCCCCACCACTGTAACTGGAGTACGTGCCCCGATACGCGAGGGTGTTGAGCGCTTTAGGGTCTTGGTACCGCCATGGTCGGGGACATTCTTCAATAAGGTCAAACGATGACTCGAACATGGATAGATTGGATACAGGTGACCAGTCGGATCGATGGTATCGAGTAGTGTCTTCATTTTTAGGATGGTACTTTGGTATGCATCTTGATATATAGTGCATAAATATTGGGTGACTGGGATCAGCTGGGCATTTCTCGACTACAGGAAATAAAAATAGGAATAAGAACAAGATCAATGTGAGAATTTTAAGATTTTATCTTCATTACTGCTTTTTACTATGAAAAGCTAATACCAGGAGGGAGGGGGCGTCTCAAATGACTGGAACGTCCGACTCGCGACAAAAATGAAGGAACGTCGAACCGTCACGCGATAAATAAAGTATAAAGTAAAATATCAACAAATGGATAGATGAAAATACAAAGCAGCCTGCATAAGACTATAAAACTACTACACAGTAGTCGGATTTATGTTCTTTAAAAGCTTTCAATCTGTAACTTAGCCTTTCTTTTRGTCCATTTTCCATCCAACTGCTTTGGGGCTTTACTTATACTGGCAACCGTAACTAAAATACAGAAGCAATTCATCGGTTGCAATGTRAAGTCACGAATGCAAACAACACTGTCCTGAAATGCGAGGCTGGAAACAATAGAGACGCCATTCAGTATTCTATGCACTCTCAATTCACACCCTCTGCATTGTATCCAATATGGACCAATTGCGCATTTGCGCTAACAAAAAAGAGGTAGAGGTAGAGGTAGTGGAAGTGGAAGTGGAAGTGGTATCGAAAAATAATATTTCAAAATATATCCATTATTACCAATATTTTGAAAATTCTTTTTCTTTTTAATGAAGATTATGGATTTAAGCTTATAATGAACAAGATAACGTGTATTCAAGAATTTCAGGATTTGAAAGCAAAATTGTATTAACTGTCGCCTGTAATGAATGATCTCATCCTTTCTCATTCAGCCATCTATTTATTCAACCAACTTCCATATAATTTCAATTATCTAGCCAGTTGAGTAAGGAGATTTAAGATCACATGACAGCAGCCCAGTTTAAAAAAAAGCAGGATCAATATATTTTTTTAGATTTGAAAAAAATCAATCCCCCAGAGTAAAGCGATTCTATTGCTCTGCAACCTAGCATCGCCGCCGAAATACAATTAGTAAATCCTCTCTTCGCTATTTCTTTCTGTACCTTTCTTGATTCTTAGCTGCCTCAACCTTGGCATCCCAACAAGATAAGCTTCTCGGCTGCTAATGAACCCTTCTTCATACTCAAAGAGCCTTCCATTGTACCAGGTAGCATTGTATAGTCCAGGAATAAGTCTGTGTTCTGTCCAGTTCCAAAATGACGAAACATTTTTGACCTGAAAATTGAATTAAAAACCCATATTAGGCATGACTAATTCAGTGGATTTCTAACCAAGTCGGGTAAACTCAATCGTATATGAATATGACCTCATGTTGCTTCAGCATTGCAAAAATTAAGTTTGGGACAACATCTAAATGTTTTCTGATATTGTTCCCAAAATTTTAAAATCGATTATAAATGTTTTAAAAGTATCATCTTTGAGGTGGCAAGCAAAAACCGCAGTGTATGGTCAAAGACAGGGCGTGTTGTTAGTATTGCGCATGCAAAATCGGCTTGCTCGGACAAAGAACGGCATGATATGTCACATCCGTAACGTAAGCTGTTTTAGGACGATCATACGAATTTTGCTTTAGTGTAACGTCCGTGAGTAAATATGGATAGCATGTATCACCTCTAACGGTAGTTGTCGCCGTGGACTTAATACTTTTACTTTTCATTTCCTTTGAAGGACGGTTTTCTCTCCGCGCCGGTTGCATTACTTTAGCCTCCCTCTGCAAAGCTGAATACCTTCATAGGAAAAAAGCCTCTTTGACCCTTCCTTCTGAGGTATTAACATCTTTTCTAATTAGGTCTTGAAAAAAAAAAAAAGATTTACATGCACATTTTTGCATGCACATACGACATACCTTATCGTAACCTTTCATTCTGCTCGCCAATTCATCCTTCATTTGAAATCTCGAGGACTTTCGGTTCCCATAGCAGATAATAAACAACAATATAGCAAAGAAAACGTAGGTAGAAATTTCCATGAACACTCGGGCAGTTTTAAGGAGCTTTTTGCGGGCCATTCGAGCCTCCTCCAGCGCCTCGCCCTTCGGAGGAAGAAATTTCTTGTACTTGACTTTATTTTTCCAGTGAGGAGAACCGCGTGGCTTTTCGGGATTCGGTGGTTTCTTTAACAGCAACGCAAGTAATGATGCCAAAATAATGACTTTGATTGGCTGTGTAAGAAAAATATCCTGGACAAAAGACACGAGAATCGAAGTGAGCCACTCATTGGCCGTCTCTCCACCCCAGGATAGACTGTACAAAATGATAACGACTGCAGATGCAATGGAAGTTCCTATGCACAAAAACCAGCCGATGTAAATAAAGAAGTGCGGTATTCCTTTGTTTTTGGTTTGACGTCGTAGGTTCTCATCCGACACCCGCATGTACTCATCTTGTGAATCTTCTTTAGTTCGTGCGTTTCTGAATATCGTGACAATGATAGCGTTGACGGGAATGGCAACCAGAGCGCTCTGTATTCCAATTTTCACTTGGGCCCAGCTCACCTTTAACGGTCCAATCTGAAACGTATCATACACGGAGCCGCCAAACTGATAAAACATGGCATTGGTTACCATGGTAGCAAAAATGATTGACAGGCAACAGGAGAGTCGTTGGACTCGAGTGAAGGAGGTCTGGGGAGGTCGCATGAAGACGGATGCCCACAGGTGGCCGTCTGCCAAACTTTGCGATGCCCTCGAATGGAACACATTCCGAAATTTCTCAATTTCTTTCGGTTCCGCGACGCGTATTTCTGTCTCGATTTCTCCGTCGCCTTTTTCAAGAGCAATCCACTTGTTGGCTAGGAAATGCCATTCTATATCCTCTTTCCCATCTGCTATCACCACCTCTCTCAGGAACCAGGCTGGACTTTCCCCGCTATTGTCATGCCAAATCTTTATCTTATAGAGCGGTCCAAGGGACTTTGGTAGATAGAGCATAAATGTATTGATACTTCCTCGAGCAAAGAACTGCTTGTTGATGGTAGAGTCGTTGAGGTTGATGGCATCCGTGTAGCCGTTCTCGCCGTATAGGATGACCCCTACGTTGGCTGTTGTTCCTTGACCATTCCAGAGACCAGTAAAGACCGAAATCTCGTACAAGGTATCTCCATGGTCGGTAAGGTATACATTTGGGATGGTCTGCAAAAAAATAACAATGAATAGACTTGTTTCTACTTAATTGAAATAACAATGGTACTGACTTACTTTTTTTTATAAGCCAACCACGCCCTATTTCTTTCCTATTTTTGATGTCGGGTTTGAATTTCTGAATTTTGATGGAAAACTTGTCCCGGGTTTTAAATTCAGCATACTAACAGGGGAGAGCGGGGATAAATTAATGCCACGAGAGAGGTTTTACATCGAAATTCAAACCCTACATCAAAATTAGAAATAGGGCTTGGTTGTTTTTCAAACCAGTTAAAACACACTTACTCGGGTTTACATTGATACTCAATGGAAACCCCCGCCCCAGCGTTTTAAGAGGGCATGTCAGCAAAAATCAAACATCGGGTGGCAAGGGTCGAAAATTTGATTTTGCTAATATTTTAAACTTAGGTAGGCCTTAGTGTAAGTAAAACCACTGTGTAGTTTGTTTGGTAAAATATGGCTTAGTTTTCGAGAAAATCGAAGAAAAGAGTTTTGAACTAAATTCGCTAATTTTCGGCCGATAATTTACATCAACTTTAACAGCTTATCGCGACCAAACAAAGCAACCTAGCACTGTAATAAGACTAAATAGTAGTTAATTGGTATCTTAAGAAACAATTTGTAGAGTTTTAGTAATTTTGGTGAAATTTTTCGATTTTTA